TAGTAATTTTTTTGGATTAAGATATATGGAACACATATTGTTTCTTTGCAAATATATGTATATATATATGTATGTATATAATGATTAAAGTGTATAATCATCTGAAGGTTCGGATCAACAAGCCAGTCAGAGAAGCTCCAGAATTTTCAACGGGATTGATCGGGAGAGATAATGCAATTGCAAGACATGGAATTCATGGGTTGTATAAATTATACAGAATTGACGTGAAAAGCAATTTACTTGTTAGAGGGAAGAACATAATATATCTACGACAATCAAGAAGTGCCGGCCAATTCCAAGGTCTCATGTATGATTATATTCGATTAGAAGAGCCTCCAAGAACTTGATTCAATCAAATGCACAATCTGATTTTTTTTTTAATTAATTTTTTTTAGAGATAATAAGATTTATTTGGACTTGTGATTATTAAATAAATTCCTGTAACTATTTGTATATTTATGTATGTTTATTATAGTAATCATTTAATTATATATTCATTATAATATTTATATTATTGTTTATACCGTCTCCGTATGTTTGAATGAGTAAAACTCATAGGGACGTCATCGCTACGCGTGAACCTTTTCCTTTAACATTCTCAATTGCGGGTCGTCCCCATATCCCGTCCGGTATGAGCGCCAAATTAGAAAATCTCAATGTCCCGTCCGGTACGAGGGTGAAATGGACCGTCTGCATACCCCGTCCAGTATGAGACAACGTTCACGGTAGGGTTCTTTATTGTACCTGATCTGTCCACCATCTCTCAAAATATTCAGTGAGCTTGTTGTTTCATCCATTCACTTAATCACACAATTTTTTGTTTTTTTTTTTAGTTTTTATTTTTCCAATTCAATGGCAATTATATAAATCAAATAATATATGCATTCAAAATTATAAAATCAATTTATAAAGTACTATCGTGCATTTAAACTGTAAAACAATCAACAGAACAATAGTAGATAATTTTCAGTTCTGCCTCCATTAGTAATCCGTAATTAATTATGCACGTCTTATAAATTGTAATAAAATACCGTATTTATTATTAATTAGATTTCAATTATATACAGAGAATAGGGTGAGAGATTCTTACTCAATCTGATATCTGAAACGCTAAACGAACCAAAGCTCAAACGTCTCTGTTTTACAACCTTTCAAAATCATAAAAATAGCCTAAATGAAAAACCCAAGCCCAGTCCTTAACCTCTCATGTCAACCCATCTCGGAAAAAAGTAAACTGTGATAACCCAGCAATTCAAACATGTAAGCCTAGCCCAAATTAAGTTCGACCCAAGATAAAATCCAAGTTGGCCCTCATTCGATGGAGAAAAGTAGATCGAGGGAGCCGCCCAAGGTTTTTCGAGACGATGGTATGGACATGACGAGGATAAGAGAAGCAGAGGATATCGAGCAGAGAGACGACGGGAAAGAGTGAGAAGCAAGAAGAACTTGATTGGTGCAGGTATGCCCGTCTCGAATCTCAATCACTCGACATATTGCCAAAAGCTCCTCCTCTTCATTTCATTTTATTATCACACAGTGACTAATGGAAATATGTAGTTAATTCTCCCCAAGTGATTTGACTGACTGTACTGATGCATTCAATTCTTTATTCTTGCAAGTTGATTATCTTTAAGTTTAATTAAAATTTGGAATGATCTTGTTAAGATCCAATCCATTGAAAAAACAAACAAAGGAAAAAAAATTGCAGAAATAAACAAGAGATAAAATTTCAGATTTCCGAAAATCTTTCCGTAGAAGTTGGTTTAAACTACTACTCTTGCTTAAAAAAAGAGATGAGTAGGGCTGGAAAAACAGATCAAGAGAAGAAAAAATTTAGAAAAACAGTGGTTGTGCTGGAAGAAAGGGAGAGAGAGAGAGAGAAGAAAAAGAAGAGAGAAGGAAGATAAAAGAGAAAGAGACGGGTGTGTATATACATATATATATATATGGAAGAGTGGCGGCAAAGCAAAAGAAAGAAGAAAGAGATTTTTATTCTCTTTCCTTGGTGACATCAATCAATGACATCAGTTATTTCGTCTTTTGTGAGGAAAAAATTTAATTTAATTTTTATTTACCTCTCTTTTTAAATTTTGCACAAATAAAATTTATGTTTTTTAATTTTAAATTTAATTTTTAATAAATTATGTTGTATTTATTTTCGTTGATAATGAATTTAATGATTGATCGTAATTTTTTTTTTCATATATAATTCTATAATTTTTGTAGTTATTATTTACTTATTATTTTTATTTAGTTGTGTATTAATTTAATTTAAAATTATTATTATTAGTTTATATGAATTAATTTAATATTATTTTAATTTATATAATTAATTATATTTCTGTTTAGTACCGTATATCTAAATATAAAATTATTTATTTTTTTAAATTTAGGAAACATTTACTAAATCTGCTTAGCTTAGTTAAGTAATAGTGGATTTAATGGTTAATATTAATAATTGACAATATAATTATGTAAATTTTAGCTTTAATTACTTTCTAGCAAGTGCGAGGATGCCTAAAAAATCATATTATCTATACACCTTTAGCAAATGATTTAACTAAAATTAGATGGTTTGGTAGTGAGAATTTAAGTGATATCATCAGTACACGTTTATGATAAATCTTATTTTTAAACTAAAATTTTCTCAAATACCAAAATAATGATACCAAAAGACACTTTTAATTATTAAATGAATAAAGGATACATAATAATAGAGGGAAAGATTTGAAAAAAGTTTTCAAAGAGTTACAGAAATTAAGGAACATGCTAAGATCTGTATTTAACTATGAAATTTGTAGAAGTCAAGGTATTGCCAACGTCAACTACAAATCGATATTTAACATCAGCTTTAAGATGCATAACAATAGAGCGAAAGACTTTGAAAAAATTTCCAAAGAGTTACAGAAACTAAGAAACATGTTAAGATCCTTAGTTAAATGTATAATTTGTAGAAGGCAAGGTATTGCCAACATCAACCACAAATCGATATTTAACATCAGGTTTAGGATGCATAACAATAGAGCGAAAGACTTTGAAAAAATTTCCAAAGAGTTACAGAAACTAAGAAACATGTTAAGATCCTTAGTTAAATGTATAATTTGTAGAAGGCAAGGTATTGCCAACATCAACCACAAATTGATATTTAACATCAGCTTTAGGATGCATAACAATAGAGCGAAAGATTTTGAAAAAGTTTCCAAAAAGTTACAGAAACTAAGGAACATGCTAAGATTCTTAGTTAAATGTGGAATTTGTAGAAGGCAAGGTATTGCCAACGTCAATCACAAATCGATATTCAACATCAGTTTTAGGATGCATAATAATAAAGCGAAAGATTTTGAAAAAGTTTCCAAAGAATTACAGAAACTAAGGAACATGGTAGAATCCTTAGTTAAATGTGGAATTTGTAGAAGGCAAAGTATTGCCAACGTCAACCACAAATCGATATTTAACATCAGCTTTAGCGAGTCGTTTTGTAGCCTGGTTAAGATAATCTACTGAAATAACCTCAACATCTGCATTTATATTGTGTTTTGCTGCAAAATCAATCATTTCTTGAATCTCATATGTTGCTCCGTATGCACTACCAGCTACAGTTTTTCTTCCTGTTTTGTCACATGCATTCAGCCAGTGTATGAATATTAGTTTTGAACATTTACTGATAATATGTATGGAATATGTTTGAGTTAATTTGGTATCATTTGTTCGAAAATAAGTACTTAGTTTAAGTATGTTCTTAATGATTAATTCTTTTTAATTACCAGTTCTAGATTAAAATAGCTTATTTAATAAGCATTTTATCTGCATGCAATATTTTTCATATGTATATATATATATATATATATATGCATATGCATATACCTTTCGTCAAAGGTAAGGTTGGTATTTCTAGTGAGTTGTCTGGACCCACTAAGACAAGTTGTCCATGAGACTTGAGTAGGTCAATTAATGGTGTGATAGGATGAGAAACAGAAACTGTGTCGAGAATACCATCCATACTGCCCATCGCAGCCTGCGCGTCCAACATTTATATCCATAGATAAGTTATTTAAATAATTTTTTCATCAATAATTAACATATATAACTATATATATATATATATATATATATATATACCTGCATTTCGTCGTGGTCACTACTATGCAAAAAAGAATCAGCACCTAAACGTTCCAAGGCATCAATTTTCTTACTAAGTGAGCTACTGATGACAGTAACTTTGGCCCCCATTGCTTTGGCAAATTTAACAGCTAAATGACCTAAGCCACCGAGGCCTACAATACCAACATGCTTTTCTGATTCTGCAAGTCTGAAGTATTTCAATGGACTGTATACTGTAATTCCGGCACAAAGTAAAGGTGGAGCAGTATGGAGTAATATATTATCAGGAAATCGAACGACATAACGTTCATTGGCAACCATATGATTTGATAACCCTCCATATGTTACAGTCCCATCGTTGTGGTCGATGAAGTTGAAGCTGAAAATCCTTTTACGACAAAAAATTTCGAAGCTTTCCATACAACTTTCACACGAGTGACATGCACCAACTAATGTCCCAACACCTACTTTATCGCCAACTTTAAACTTTATCACCTTGCATCCAACTTGTGTCACTTCTCCTACAATTTCATGCCTGTAAAATCGTAGGTAATCTGTTTTATACATAAATTTTATTACCATTTTTTATATTTATTACATTGCAATAATAAAATAAAATTAATAATATTAACTGATATCTTCTTACCCAGGAACAAGAGGATAGATGGTTTGGGCATCAGAAAATTCATTTTTCATTGCTAACAGATCTGCAACACAGAGGCCGCAATATAAGATCTTAAGCCTCACATCCTCCTCACCAGTTTCCCTGCTCACAAAAACTTATGTAATCAATCAACTGTACATATTTTATGCAATTATAGATTTTTTCTCGTAGAGAAATAAACTAAATGGTTGATAACGTGTTCCTCTAAGACTACATTATCAAAGAAGAAAAGGTAAATACACCTAAACAGAAAGAAAAGGAAAGTAAGAATTATGAGAAGGTAGGGAAGTAGGATCACCTTCTTGAGAAGTTGAAAGGAGAGAGATGACCAGACGAGTCTCTTGCTGCCCAGCCAAAGGCCTTAACAGGATGTTCTTCTTCCGGTGACAATCCCATTCTGCTTTATTTATTTTGATTCAAAGAGGGGGGTTACTTGTCTGTATGTGTATGTGTACGTACGAGTGACAGAACAAAAGGAGGATTTATAGCTAACAATGGTGTATCGCACACGTAGAAAAATATATAGACATAAAAGATAGAGAGAGAGAGAGAGATTAGTTAAGAGAGATATTAATTAAGCCAGCTTTTGCAGACTAGAGGCTGCGCCTAAATCGGAATTTGATTTCTATATCTTATTAATGATATTATAGATGTTTACTTGATAGATTTTGCAAATAAAATTTGAAATTTATTATTACTACAAGGAAATAACCATCTTATATTTCCTTGTCCTTCACTTGTCGTGCACGTATTCATCCTTTCCTATATATGAAAACCACAAGAAAAGCTAATGTTCTAACCAACAATTTCTAATCCTCAAGAAATCTTTATTTCTCGAAGCAAGAAAAAGAAAAAATAATTAAAAAAAGAAGAGAAGCGGATAAGAAGGAGGAGAAGACCGAGCGGCGGCCAGAAAGAGAGAGAGAGGAGACCAGCTGATGCTGGCTGGAGAGAGAGAGAGAGAGTGAGAGAAAGGAAAGGAGAGGGTGATTCGGTGGCCGAAAAGAAGAACCTACGCGCATATAGATAATTCTTCTTTGAAATTTAAATGGATATTTACGATTATATAAGTCAATGTAGTTAATGTAATTGTTGTAATTAATATATGATTGTGTGCGTACTATCCATACAATAAGAGTATCCTATTTGTCTATATTTGATAACGATATAAATGACATTCAAATAACAAAAAAAAATTAAATACTTTACGTTAAAAATTAAATTAAATTATATTTTAAATATAAATATTTATTGATAAAATTTTATTATTATTTATATTTATATATAATTTTTTTTAATTCAATTGGATTGAATTATAAATATTGAACTTGATCATATTTTTTAAAGAATTTAAATTATTTTTTATTGAATTAAATTAAATTACAAAATTATACACGTTGAATCTTAAAATTTTAGGAGTCGCTGCCCAATAACAACCAAATATTTTTTTTTTTGTAAGAAAAAATTATTAAGTAATTAAAAATAAGCAAGTTTATCTCATTATTTAAAGTCAATAATAAAATAAAAATAAAATAAATGCGGCTAAGAAGTTATAGTCTTACGCAACCATAGTCTATAAAATATTAAAAAAACAAAAATAGAAATCAAAATCTTCCACATTTATTGTCACCGCTAAGAAATCAAAATCTTCGACAACTATGCATGGTGGGCAGCCCACGTGGTCCACTTTTAATTTATTATATTATAGAAATTATGAATTCGAGAAAACGGTCAACTCTTCCCGCCCTAGGGATGCATGCACCCAGAGACGTATATATTTTATATGATCGGTAAACCTTTGAGCCTGGACAAGAAATGTAAAGTTGATATTTCTTTTCTTTCTCAATTTGATCTTTCTGGAGTGCGTAAGTATAATACTTAGTCAAGTACTTGGTTCTCTTGTTTTTCTAGTTCAATAAAAAGAAAATGGCAGAGCGCTCACCAGAAACAGAGTACCCTATTAAGGCCTATGGCTGGGCAGCGAGAGACTCTTCCGGTCATCTCTCTCCCTTCAACTTCTCCAGAAGGTACCCTTTCGCAAACTCTGCCATTGGCCCTTTTCCCAATTCGTTTCTCTTCACACTGTTCGTAAATATACACTTGTGCATACGCATATATGTATACGTGTAGGTGATGCGTGATATGTGTACATATTGAATTGCAATGCAGGGAAACAGGCAAGGAAGACGTGAGGGTAAAGGTGTTGTATTGCGGAATCTGCGATACAGATTTTAACATGATGAAAAATATCTGGGAAACTGCTGTGTACCCTATGGTTCCCGGGTAATTATAACCTTGTGATCTTTTCTTTTGATTTGTTAAGGACTAAAACTATCTCAATCTCATCAAACATCTAACTAAACAAGATTTGGATGATCATGCTAGCCGGTATTTCATATAATGAGAATAGCTTATCTATCACAATTATCTCTTTTGTGTTGGATATATATATTATATATATGTATATTTTCATCACATATGCGTATATACCCGTTGGTATACCAACTTCTAACTTTAAATTCTTGCCTCTAAACATGCTACTACTTGTTATCATGAGAACAGTTCGATGCTTTTAACGGATTCACTGCTTGCAGACACGAAATTGTTGGAGAAGTGACAGAAGTTGGGAACAAGGTGAAGAAGGTCAAAATTGGTGATAAAGTCGGTGTTGGCTGTATTGTTGGTGCATGCCACTCTTGTGAGAATTGTGTCAATGACCTTGAAAATTATTGTCCCGAAATGATATTCACCTACAATTCCATTCACCTGGATGGCAAAATCACTTATGGAGGTTTTTCTGATCATGTAGTTGTTAATGAACATTACATCCTTCGAATTCCTAACAATGTACCACTTGATTCTCTTCCTCCTTTACTTTGTGCTGGAATTACAGTGTACAGTCCATTAAAATATTTTGGACTGGGGAAAGTTGGTAAACATGTAGGTATTGTAGGCCTTGGTGGTCTCGGTCATTTAGCTGTTAAATTTGCTAAAGCAATGGGTGCTCAAGTCACGGTAATTAGTACATCACCAAGCAAAAAAACTGAAGCTTTAGAATGTTTGGGTGCCGATGCATTTTTGGTTAGCCATGATGCTGACCAATTAGAGGTAATAAATTACATGTTTTTACATTTTAATTCAGACATCTTTGTTCTGATATTAAATTTCTTAATCACAGTTTGCTGCTGAGACAATGGATGGTGTTATTGACACTGTTTCTGCAGCTCATTCCCTCGCACCGTATTTTAGTCTATTGAAGTTGAGGGGACGACTTGTGTTGTTAGGTGCACCAGCTACGCCATTGGAAATACATCCACCATTGGAAATACATCCATATTCTTTGTATGATGGTAAGTATAGAAGAATATTTAATTAATATCAACAAATAATCTGATTGATTAATTAAGAATAAATTAAAAGGAAAATTTTTGTGAGAATTGAATCATTCCCGTTTAATTAGAGACTATAATATGTTAAACGACTTAAGTAATGCATTAACGAATTCTAAAAAATTAAATAGGAAGGAAAACAATAGTTGGGAGTTACATCGGAGGTATAAAAGAGACAGAAGAGATGATTGATTTTGCTGCAAAATACAACATAAAGGCAGATGTCGAGATTGTTCCAATCGATTACGTCAACATTGCTACGGAGCGAGTAGCTAAATCTGATGTCAAATATCGTTTTGTCATTGATGTTGGTAACACCTTAGCTGTTACAAAGCCTTAAACAAAAAAGGCCTGACTTGTTATGTTCAACATCTAGTATGCTATGTATGTGCTAGCGATATCGAAATGATTTTATCATTATTAATTTTATTATTGTTTGTAGATATTGAGAATAAATTTAATTTGTACATCCATTGGGAGTGAAAGTTTTGAATAATCATTTAAATGTTTCTTTAAATTATGGTTATTTATATATTTGATTCAATAGAAACAATCTTATAGAATAAAATATAGTAAATGTTGACACGAAGATATTATATTTTACTCTAATTTAAATTCATAATGTGAATATGGAGGGCAGAACATGACTTATATTAATCCTCTGTCAATAAGAATATATAGGTACATAAAGATAAATATATTATATTTGAAAAATAATGACTAATAATAAAGGTCGAAGATAGTAAAAGATAAGAGATGATACTGAACAAACCATGTCTATTATCCTGAAACCTCACAAAATGATGGCAACAGAGAACAAAGATAGAACTTCTTTGAACTTGAGAAAAGTTTCTAGGAGAAATGATTATTAATGATGTTATGTAGTAAATTAGTCTTCGAAAGAACCTGAATATCAAGTTGTTTAAGGGCAACATGTTCTTGTATAAAGTGATGATACATGACCTTAATATATTATTATAATACTAATAATTATTGTTTTTATTGTTATGTATTCATTTTATGAATAAAATTTCTCTCCTATTTTGAACCCAATTTGAAACCCATACTCAATTTTTTTTTTGCTTTTGTTAATTTAAGAGGATTTTGTAATTTGATTCTTAGATCTTTAGAAATGATTTTATGTTGAAATCTATTATTGAATCTTGTTTTTTTTTTTTGAGAGGTTTCGAGGAAGAGAAGAACAAAGTTCCAAAGGAGCACACACTTAATTTTTGGCCTAAGTGTACCTCCTCACCTCTTTCTTCAAGAGATTAAGCATTCAAGTGTTTTAAAATATGTTTTTTATGTAATGGTAGTTCATAAAGAAAACCCCAAAGAAGCTAAAAAGAATAGCAAGAAAACTAGAAAATTGAACAACACAAGAGAGAAAAGTGTGGCCACATAGTTCATAATAATTTTTCAAACCACAATGTTGATAGAGCAAATTAAATATTTTCAAAAAAATTAAATATTGTAAAATTATGTCAAGTCACTTGTTTTGATATTCAACAGAGAGTTCATAATAATTTTTTGTATTATGAAATAGCGTTAATGTAAATTGTTTCTTATGATCCATAGTAAATTACGATATAAATTTAATATGTTACGTTCACATTAAATATCATTATGTACTTTTTTATCCTAACACAATTATGATCTTTTTTACTTGGTGATAAACAGTCTCTTTCAAGTCAAAGTTTGGCAAACCTATCTAATTTTAATTATTTTCAATTAATTTTCTTTTAAAAAAAAAATTATATTTAAGCATCTACAGTTATCAATGCAGTATGTAAACATTAATTATTAAACTTTGTTCATAAGTAGATGTTATAATCGCACACTCATAAAATTATTAAGTTTTTAAAAAATATTACGAATCATATTAAAATAATTAGTTTACATGATAGTGTAGGTTCTTTGTACCATTGAATAGTATTATTATTGAGTTTCTGATAAGTGACTAGTAATGTATATTATTTAACATTTGATTTCACTTTTAATATGATGAATAGTGAATTTTTTATTTTAAATTCCTAAAGTTTCAAAAATATTTTTTTTTTCTTGTAGATATTTATCCTGCATTGCTACTGTGAAAGTCGGGAGAGTCGCCCCTCTTTGGTGGCTACTTCTTAGGTAG